CCACATACATACATACATACATAAAGCCAGCTGTGCCAAAACTAAAATCATAAGTCCCATGGTAACATCAAAACAGGGTTAACCACATATCCAAGAAAGACATCGTATTTTCAAGATCACACATGCATAGACTCATGCTGAATATTAGTGCCTGTTGGATGTCACCACTTTCTCTTTTGAGGATTTAAAATCAGCATACTACAGTGATGCAGCTACATCAATGTTTTGTAGCTACACTATTCACAAACATTTAAGCTATGGAGCTATCTGAAATGTCCCTTGGCAAATGAATGGATAAAGAAACTGTAGTGTATATATACAATGGAATACTATTCAGCCAAAAAGAATGACTTTATGACATTTGCCAGTAAATGGATGGATCTGAAGAGTATCATGTTAAGTAAAATAAGCCAATCACCAAAATCCAAAGATCAAATGTTTTCCCTGATATGTGAAGCTAACTCACAATAAGGGATAGAGGGGAAGAAGTTCAATAGAATAGATAAAGGGGAATGAAGGAAAGGGAGGGAGGATAGAAATAGGAAAGACAGTGGAAAAAAATCTGATATAACTTTCCGAGTTACATGTATGAATACACTACAGTGTGTCCCACCACAAGATTGGGGCCCTGATTATAATAAGATATAGTCCATACATGTATAATTTTATCAAAATGGACTTTACTGTCATGTATAACTAAAAAGAACCAATTAAAATTTTGAAAGAAAATTATAATTAGTAGTATTTTTCAAAATCCAGGTATTGTGATAAATAATTACAAAAATATGTTTTAAGTAGGTACAATTATCTTCATGAGTGACAGGAATGAGAGTGGTACAACTAGGACCACACCCAGATCTTTCTCTCACAAGAACCTTTTTACTATTTGTATACATTCTTATCTATTCTATTCATAAGAACAAAAGCAGGAATTGAATTTGTTTAGGAAACACCGTTGGTATTTTTTGAAACTTTAAAAATTTCACTTTTTCTATAAAATTCAGCCTAAATGATAACTAATAGCAATATCCATGTGCCTTGTACTTAAATTCTAGTAGGGGAAAAATGTTTAAATGTCCCTCTCCCCTCCCACCTATACTGTATAAACAACCTCCCTCCTGTCTTTCCATTCTCCTATACCTTCTTTCCAAACTAGTCAATAACCACTGAGCTCCTAAATTACACATCGCTTCTCACAGTCTCTGATAAAGCTTATTATGTAATAAGTCACTTAAACACCTGCAGTAAGAAAACTAGAAATTTTTCACAGTGGGGGAAAAAAGATGGGTAAATGATTTCATCTTTATCGCTTAGTTATTAAGTCATGTTGATAGTGTGGCTCACTTTGTTCTAACTGTTGTACTTACAAAAATATTTAGACATGCTTAAACTGAGGTGATATACTACATTTTGGTTATTCTGAGTATTTACAAGAATGTTTTCAAAGTTAAAGATGAAAAGAGTCAGTAGTCTATAGTTCAACGTGCCAGATAAGACCTCAAACAGTTAAGCCTTTGTAGCTTGTGGGAAAAGTATTAATTACATTATCCATTCATGGAGGATCACTGCCCAAAAATAAATTCAGAAGAATCAGGGCTTAACCTGCTAACCATGCATGTAAACTTGATTGTCTACGCTAACATGCTCATGACATTATCAGTGGCTGAGGGAAAAATGACCTCACTGCTTAAATATAAATCAGGTTCTCATTAATGCCACTGAAAATATTTGGTTTTTAACAAAATATGTATTTCTCTGTACTCAATGAAAGCATTTACTAGATGTTTCATTGCATTAATTTTATGCTTCTAACAAGAATTATAGGACTATTACACCAGAAGGGCTCTGAAAGATTAAGTCAAATTCCTTCATATCATAAGTAATGCTGTTTTATAAATAAAGGGCTATAATTAAAATTAGTAGACTCCATAGAATTTACTGCAGAGATTATAACTATATACCACCAACTTGAAAAGGAAATGAATGAGCCTGGGCTTCACTGATCATCTGCACATAATTAGGAAATTTAAGCCAATTAGAATTAGACTGCCCAAACAGTATGATCCTTACAACAAAATATAATGCCTGAGTTGTAGTTATTAAAGCCTTATGTTTTCTAGTAGTACTTCCCAGTATATCTAATAATAAGCTTTTTAAGTTTAGGAGCAGTTGGTGTTTTTCACAAATATTATTAAAACATAGTAAGCCATAATGCCTCTTGCTATATCACTTAGGTTTATTAAAATTGGAGATAGGAACTAACATTCTCCTTATGTCACTCTAACACTGACTATGGGCTATCTTGCCTTAAAAAGAAATTAGTATGCCAGGTGTGGTGTAATCTCAGAGACCCAGGAGGCTGAGGCAGGAAGATCACAAGTTCAAGGCCAGCCTCAGCAACATTGTCTCAAATAAAAAGGACTGGTGATGTAGCTCATAACTCAGTGTTCAAGCACCCTTAGGTTTAATCCCCACTACCAAAAATAAATAAATAAAAAGAAATTAGCAGCTTGATTTTGAATACAAGAAATTTTATGCACTTGGGGTTGTTTTTGTCTTGTTTTGTTGTTTGGTTTTTTACAGATAATTCAACTGGGAAATTACCCAAATAGAAATTAATCAAATCAGAGAAAGCTTTGTTTTCTTGTCTTCTCAAAGTGAAAGTTTCTACAAAACATTCACCAGTTTTTTTTTTCTCAGAAAATTAAAACTTTTAAACAATTTAAATAAGCTTTCTAAAACATAAAAGCATTAATAGACTGTAGAACAATACACTAAAGTTTCAGAGGTTTTGATTTCAAATACTTTCTCCCACTGCATTCTCCTCCAGTCTTACAATGGGCTCCAGGGATCCCACCAGGGATCCCACAGCCTACTCCACAACTGCCATCCAGAGTCTTGGAGCAGCCTCTTTTTAGGTGATGTCAGAGAACTAAACAAAATTGAACAGGGTGTTCAGTGCATAGTCTTCCCATAGAAATCCATACATTTAGGGATTGTGTCTTTAGATCTCTAAATTTAGGAAATAACAGTGTAACAGAAAAGGAACTTGACCTGATAGATCTTATGCATAATATTATTCAAATTTGAGTTGTGAGATAAATGTGAAGTGCATGTTTGTTTTTTCTTAAACAAATGGTACAAAGACAAGCCATGATGGTTTGATATCGATAAATTACTCTATCTCCACTCTTCATTTGACTGAGCAGCAATGGATGATCAGAATATTCAAAACTCAGATTAGCCATTGAGGAGAATTATATGACACCTTGTTTTCTTTCTTTTTACACAGTAAAAACCAGCTCACTTCTCATGTGCTGTATTACTCATATCATAAACCAGAAAATAAACTTACAATTAGTACATCATGTTACAGTGGCTTTTCAGACATGGTCTCGAGGCATACTGACACATCACAGGTTGCTACTCATGTCCATTAACTATGACTATTAATTTAAAAACTCATGTTCATAAATCATTTGCTTGATATACATATGAATTAAGACATATTCAGAGTGTTTTCTGCAATACCCCCATTTTTTCCCAATTGAACACCATACAATTTCTTGTATGAGAATAAAGGTTATCTAACCCCATGTAATTCTTAGGGAACCCATTAAAGTGAACTCCATGGGCAAAAAAAATCTTTAGTATGCATGTAACTGTGAAAGAAAAAAAAAAAGACTAGCAACTACTGCTGTATATACTCTACTGCTATTTCATGCTGTATTGGTGGCTTCTTCATGTGGTTTGACTGGAAAAGAATCATATTTATGGAGAAACATGCCCAAAGATACTGAAATTTGGACCCTGAAAAATAAAGCTTATTTATTTCAGTGGAGCCGATTATATGTTAACAGGCTTTTTTTCTCTCACCTCCCTGGCCCAAGTAGAATTTTTATTTTTCCTTTCTAGTACTATATAAATTCTCCCTTCAGTTTTTTTCTAGCATATAAAATGCTGCGTGAATATCTAGCAGTAATTAATAGCCTGTCATCCGAGTAGGTAATATATGGGAGTGAATTCATTGTTTATGAGTATATCAATATCATTTTAAAACTATATGCTGGGATAGAAAGGCAACGGTGAAGTGTAAAATTGCTAATGCAGGCTCATAGCCTGGAAAATGATTTCTTTTAATAGTTTTCTTCATTTAACAGTTCTTCATTTGACAATGTTCCCATTCAACTGCAGATTTTGTGGTTTGGTACAGTGAAGAAGAAATTTATTCCTTTGACACATTTATTCTTTTAATAGTTATTCATTTGAAAAAGTTTCACTGAGGGCCTATATATTTTGCAGTTTGTAGAGAAATTGATTCTTGACAGGTTTTCTTTAAATGTGTATTGAAATAGATTCTCCTTCTGTGGCATTGTTGCTAAGATTTTTTTAAATTGGATCCTCCTGGGGAGTTCTGGTAATACAGTAATGTTGGTGTCAACCTGTGGGTTTTCCAGGGATTCTGTAAGCTCTAGATGACAGAAAAGGGTCACACTACTGGCAAAGAGGAGAAAAGCAAGCAATTTAAAGGATGGAGTTTATCTAACCATTAGTAGGAGTCTTTAGCTTTCATGCTCATTATAATTTGAACATCAGTGACAGATCATTTACAACAAGACTAGTTTAGGGATGGAGTATGTGGCCATGAAATATAGTTATCAAATTGTCCTCAAAGAGCTGGGGTTGTTGCTCAGCAGTAGTGCTTGCCTAGCACGAGTGAGGTGCTGGGTTCAATCATCAGCACCACATAAAAATAAATAAAATAAAGGTAATGTGTCCAGCTACAATTAAAAAAATTTTCCCTCAAAGATTTGAAAGCAGATAATCTGTCACAAATGTTTTATTTCAATATTTAATATGATCATTCTAAGCTCAAACCAATGTTTGACTTGTTATTTCAGGATTTTACCCAAAGTCAATAGGGTCATGATAGGTCTGTATTGTAAGAAAAATCTCACATCTATTCCCTCTCCTCACTGTTGATCCTTTTTTACTCACAGTTCCAAAGACAGCACCCACCAATGTCAGTGGAAGAAGTGGAAGAAGGCATGAGCTGGTCATCGCCTGGGAGGTAAAGAAAGTCTCTGAAGATGTCAGAGTTCCCCACATCCTTAGAAATGCAGGCTTGCTGCCCTGGTATAAAGAAACACTTGGGTTTCTTTTTAGATTAAGCACTTAGAGCATGTACTGCTCTCACAAGTATTGCCAAAGCGAAGCTCTCTCATTTTCATACCAGGCCCCAGGTCTAAGATATGCTTTCCTGTCATATAAGACATCACACAAAACAAAGTTTGCATGATTAAAACACATCCTATTCCAAATTACTTCATGGATCTGTTTGACTTCATTTGTCATTTAATTATTTGACCAGTAGATAGTTCCTAGTAAGTCAAGGTGACTAACAGTCCTGGGGAGGAGGAATCACCCCTGTGGGCACAGTGTCCAGGTTGTCCCTCTTAGCCCATGCTAGAATGGTGTCCTCATTTTACAAATTATGAATCAGATAATTTTTAAGAAACTCCCTAATAAACAGAATTGGGTCCCTTCTTATAAGCATTTGTATTCTTTTTTCTACCTTGTCATACAGCTTCCAAAGTATTCTTTTTCTAAAAAAAAAAAAAAAAAGAAGAAGAAGAAAAAGAAAAAAGAAAAAGAATGAAAGGAGACTTATTTTTCACTAAGCCAATTTCCTTTTTGATAAATAACCTTATTGTTGGGACTGAGAAAATAACTCAGTGGCAGAGCACTTGCAGAGCATGTGCAAAGCCCTGGATTAGATCCCTAGCACCACACACACAAATAGCAAATATATCTATGTAGTTCACAGATCTAAGCCTTAGAATATACAGACACTGAAATGTTTGTTGGACAAATGGAACAAATGCCTGGTAATTTCTAAGAGCAAATATAAAATGTAAAGTAAAATATCTTTTCCCAAGAAACCTTCCATAGGCACATCATCTGTCCTGTTTTTTCTATCCATTCCCCTTTTCTCAATAAAACCTCATGTCTTGCTTTTTATTTCTGCAGAGGTATTAACTTCTCAACACCTGACCTTCACTGAGATGATCTCTCTAAATAGACTTGCCCTTCCCCATGAACTTTGATTATAATAGGCTTGTCTCTCTTCTTTCATTTGATACCTAGTTTTTCTTCAAATCAAAATTTTAAAGAAAACCTACTTTATAAATGTTTACTGTCTGTCTACTATGTATCAAGCACTGTGCTCATCAGTGGCTGTTAAACTTTCCGTTAACTAGTCAATTACAATTATGGCTTTCTGTGATATTCAATTGAAGCCCACTTGACAAATGTAAACATGAGCCCCATAGCACAAGACGTTTCTTGAAAAAAAAATGCCATAGTCCAGTATTTGTGCATATTCATAAAGCACAGATGCTACTGAAAAGAACACTGAAAGGTTGTTCTTCATTTAATATCTCTTCAATTAACTGTGCAAAGTACTCTGCAGAAGAGCATCAGTGACAAGATATTCCCAAATATCAGACCGTATGTCAGCTTTCCCCAACATGCTAAATTCTAGTGTAGAATTCAAGGGCCTTCCTTTCATATACATGACTGATGAGAGCAAATTTGTTTCACTTCAAGAGTTTTCAATACTCTTGTGAGTTTTCTTACATACTCACAGATATAATTTAATTTTCCTTCTTTTACCTTTAAATTCTTTTAAGTTTTCAAAATCTGCCAAAGTTATTTGTTATGTTGGCTTCTTATGTTGGTATAGATTTGATATTTACCTTTGCCCTAGTTATCCATAAAATAACAACAATAAAAAATTAAAGATTTGGAGGAAGTGGTTTTTTACAAATTGTTTTGCTGATAATTGTGTTTTCCTTCTTTAGCCAGTATCTGAAGAGTTTCAGAATGGGGAAGGCTTTGGTTATATTGTGGCTTTTAGACCCAATGGAACACGTGGCTGGAAGGAAAAAATGGTGACATCCTCTGAAGCTTCCAAATTTATTTATCGAGATGAAAGTGTCCCTCCCCTTACACCTTTTGAAGTAAAGGTTGGCGTTTATAACAATAAAGGAGATGGACCTTTCAGTCAAATTGTGGTCATCTGTTCAGCTGAAGGAGGTCAGTTGCCTTATCTCTATTATCTTATTTAGCATTTAAATATTTTTTTGTTTCTTTATGAAAGGCTTCATTATTAAAGAATAAGCCAAAAATAAAGAAAATAAAGTTCACTTATAATCCTACTGCACTTAAGATAAATTTTGAAAAGAGTTTGGAAAATGTAATTATAAAAATCTAATTTTAATTTTAAAATAATCTAATTTAAAAAAATTGTTTATGCTGCTTTGGTTTTTGTTTTGTTTGTTTTGTTACTCCCTAATAATTTATGGCAAACAAGTATCCATGATAATAACAATGTTAGTAATTTCTGTAGTGTATTCAATTCTCTGGGTGCATATTAACAAACCCCTTTTGTTTGAATTTTAGATAACTTTAATAATACATATGTGAAATAAATCTAAATAAGGTCTCCATTTACATGGCCAGTAAATATCTCTATCTATCCCATGCACAAACCATTGTACTGATAAAGTAGTATCAGGACTTTCTATTACAAACTTTTCATAGAATCATTAAATCCTAATGACAATCTTGTGTGCTAGGCTTTGAGTAGAAAGAGAGATTAAAGTTCAGAAAAATTATGAAATTTGCTAAAAGTAACAAGTTTGTAGTTGAGCATTCAATCCCTATCTCTAAGCATTAAATCCTTGATCTTTCTAGAGTGTGCTGCGATAGTACACATGACCTCACTTAAGATACAGTTAACTAGCCATTCTGGAGATGAATAAACTGTAAACCTGTGACTTGCTCATGATTACAGTCAATAGGTCATAGAGTTAAAGTACAAACCCTGCTTCCAACATCAAAATCCTGGATTCTTTTGAGTTTAAGTACAAATGTGCTATTTTCTGAGAGAAAGCATGATAGATCTAACTCCTGAAAGCTAGCTTTACCTCTTAGTCCTTCTTCTATTCATGTGCAGAATTTCAACTGACCCCGAAAGTTTAAAATAAAATTGTCTTTTATTCCCTAAATTTATGAGAGAAAATGTTCCACTGAAGGCAGCATTCATTTGACCTTCCAAATAAGCAAGGGTAACACAAACTGACCCTTGTACTTCCTTCATGCCCACATGTGCAATGTGAATAGCTCAAAAGAATTAATATTTTCAGTGCTGTGAGCTTCATAAAAAGAAATAGGGTTATTTGAATATGGAAGAACAAAGGTAGTGTTTGATTCATGTAAGTGCAGTTTTTCTGTAAAAGCTGCCTTATGTTTTTATAATGTAGAGCCAAATAGTGAAGCAAAAACTCTATTCTAGCAGAAGAATGGTCAGGAAGATAAAGAATCAAGTAATGAAAAGGAGTCATGGGTATTCCAATGAGAAACCCATGAACTAAGCATCTCAGATTTTTGATGTTTCTCAATACAGCCACTGTGCCGTATTAGTTATACTACCTAATTTAACACTTAAAACCAAACAAGAGGCCAGGAGCTCGCTCAATCTACCTTTTAGAAAACTAGGTGTCTGTGAACCTAACTAACATGCCCAAGTTCACACCAGTAAGTGACACAGCTGAGATTTTCACTAGACCTATATGATTCCAAAGCACATATTTTAACTACTACCCTATACTGTCTCACCAGGAATGTATGTAATTATGATATTTTCTATTATTTATTACTCCAAATATCTATCTTCAAGTACATGTTTTATTCAGGAAGTGCATATTCTTGTTGCTTTAAAATTGCTTCAACCTAATTATCAAGCACACAGTCCCAAAGGTCACATGAGGTGAGTTGCAGAAGTTTGTGAACATGCTTTGTATGTTAATGCCAGTGCTGCCTTTAAGAAATCCAGTTTGTAAGTTTCTTGACAACCTTTGCTTAGAAATTAAATTATAGCATCCACCATTTTTTTTAATACTGTGTTCCCTTAAACTTGAAATGGCTTGCCTTTGGAGATTTCTCTTTTAAGCTAGAAAGGAAATATGCATATTTTCCTTCAAAGACACTGAGGTTGTTGCTGTAATATATTTCATAGTAACACTTCATTTATTTTGTAGACTAAAATATGAAAGATACCAGGCAAATTAAGTATGTATAGACTCTGCCTTTGTTCTGATGACAAAATTCAAAATATATTTGGCATTTGCTTACCAATTAGATTTAAAAATTTGGAACTCTGTGTGTAAATATGAATAAAGTGCTACCATCACTAAATTTCAACCAAAATTGCAGGATAGGGGACAGAAGAGCTTTTTTCCTAGATGTAGCAGAGCCCAAGTTCAACTCTGGTTATATACTAAATGATCTTGGACAGTTAATTCACCTCTCTGAGCCCTGTCTTTCTACACTTCAATAATGAACTTTTGAAATAAAAATGTCTCTGTCAATCCTCACAAATCTAAAATTAAAATTTTGTCAATTTATCCTATATTCTAAGGGTTCTTTTAAACAACTATCCCAAACAGGGAGTAATAATAGTTCACTTTTTCTCTATAATAAAAAGGGCAAATTAGTCCCTTGGAAAATTGCTTTAATTGAGAAGATACCATTTTAAAAATTAAATTATTTTTAATTAAACCTGCAATAAACTCAAAACTATAAATTGTGGGTGTACTCCTGCCAGTGCAGTTTCAACTCCTCTATGCCTGTGGATATTTACAGGTTCAATGTGTTTTTAATCACCATCCTCTTACCCCCAGCCCACCAAATCTGAGATTGTACTTCTTAAGACCAATTCTGCTGCTTTACTGTTCCCTTTAACCCAGTCAACTGTCTTTCACTTTCAAATCTTTCCATACTGGAGAGGCAATAAAGAACAAACGGAATGAGACTGCTTTTCTATTTCTATTCATGGGCTTACTTCTTCTCTCAACCAAGAATACTGGCCATATACCTAGGACACTATGAAAAAGTCACATTTTCATAGCTGACACTGACCTGGGTTGGAGGGGGGTGATATGTGTTAAATATATTACACATCCCACTACACATTTTAGATATGTTTTTCTAAGTTTTTTCACATTTTGGTTTTTTAAAAATCAGTCCATTTATGTTGCTTTATGTCCTTCACTCTCTAACAATTTATGACAAACATGTTTCCATGATAATTAAAGTATTAATAATCTCTACAGTGTATTCTATTCTCTGGATGGATATTCAACCAAAATTCAGCCATGAGAAGTGGTGTTATCTGAGGCACAGAAAGACTAACAAGGCTCACCTTAGAGTATTACTTCTACCTCTCCCACTGGAACATCAATGATAGATGGCATTCACATCCCAGAATGCCCTTCTATGAATGCTTGTGTGCATTCACCCTTCATCTTTTTTAATTTTCCTCTCTCAAGAAAGTATATTGGAATGCAAATGAGAATTATATTATTATAAAGGAAAAACCTTGGTTGACCTGTTATTAAAAGGAATCATCATTTGTAAATATTGATATTTGGTAAATTACTTGAGATGTGACCTTGACTTGCATTTCTGACATTGACTATTGCCCTAGAGTACTATCAGAGAAGTTGCAAATGCTTCTTTTGCTAACACCCTTGAACCTTTGAAACCTTTCAATATTTTCACAATAGAAGTAAACCTTAAAGGCTCTGTTAGTGCCAAGTAGCATCTGGCATAAGCCTGACAGATTTTTGCCTACTAGGATTTCCACACACCCTGTATCTAACACTGAACACACTTTAAACCAGTCAAGAATTATGTACGTTCCTAATCCTGATTCGACTACAGATCTACAGAGCAGGGTAAAATCCTACCAATATCATAATTTTGAAGCAGTTCCATCTTTTTAAAAGAATAGCAAATTTCCAAAATAAGTAATTTTAAAATGCTCAATAAAACCAATAAAGGGATTTTTCTTCAAGATGAAGGTCAAATCAGCATTTTTCTAGAAATATTTAATCTAACATATTACTATAACTTTAGATAGAATCAGAACATTGATTTATGCCTAATAATAAAACAGAATTTCAATATACACTAATTATATTTTAGAAGATATATTTATTTGTGACATGCTTTAGACTTTTCTAGACTACCCCCTCCCTTTGGTTTTTGCTTTGTATGTAAAGAATGCTTCTTTTATTTTTATTAAAACCCAAAGCCTCTATTCATTTGAAGAAGTTGATATGCAATTATCCTCTTGCAAACAGAGCTACCACAGCTCAAATTAAAACCCAACATTCATAAGGCGTTATTCTCCAAATCAGTTCTTAGCTGGAACTGAGCTCAGTGGGATTTATGTGAACTTGGAAATTAATAAATTGGCATATTAGTTATAAAATACAAGGAATAATTTCCTGTCTTTGCCAGATGATCTATTTGGATTAGTGCCTATAAAAGTTCAACTACAGCTGTCCTTACTGAATTTTTAAATAATGAAACCATAACCCTTCTCCCAAGGAGTTTATTAAACTCTCCTTTGATTAATGCTGTTGCTTGCCCCTCCTGGGAAGTCAGATGTATAATCAATATTACAAGCACATCCCCCCACATTACTTGGAGGACTCCAGCTGCTAGGTCACTTAATACAAACGTATCATCTAAATTCATGAACATGGTAATGCTGTTTCAAATTTTTAATCTAACTGATACCAAAATCTATCAGTCAGCCTTCTACTTCATATCCCCAGATTGGAGTAAAGGAGTTATCCATGGCCTACTTAATATAATAAGTGGAAGGAAAAAAAGAGATCCTTTTAAGTCTTAAGTCTACTAGACATAGCACTAGTATAATCTCAGAAATACGTTCCTGAGCTCTCATCAAATTACCAGAGTATAACAGACAGGAGTGAGAGCTGCAGAAAACACCCTATGATTTAAAGGTCAGAAGAGTTTTAGAAATGCACAAGTATGATGTGGTCCCTGCAACAGGAGTAACAGGAGTTCATTGTAAGCTTGTGGAGGGTTAAACAGATGATGGTGGGGGTCTAGGTGGCTTCTGAAAAGACTCATGAGTAGAGCTCTCAAGTAGGAGGCCCAACATCAAAACTCTTGGGAGAAGTTAGAAGCGTAGAGGCAAAGGGGAAGAGAGAAAGCAAAATAAAAAAGAAAAAAAAAAACAACATAAGGCATGTGCAACAGGGACACACACAGCTGATGGCATGGTGGTGGGAGCTGACATCCTCCACCATTTAGCTCCGAATGACCTTGGATCGATTAGTGTCACCACCCCTCAATTTCTTCACCTAAGTAATAGTGATTATAATAATAAAATTTTTAGGATGATTAATTAATATAGTTACCAGAACGAAGAACATAGCAAACCCTCAAAGTAAAATGGCAATTGTTACATTGAGTTCTTCCCTTTACCTATTTTGTTTGTTCTTAATGATATCCCACCCATGCCTCTGTCTGTTTATTGGAGGGAATTTGGCATAATGAAGAAACAAATGTTTTCTATAAGATCTCTTCTGTATCTGAAAGCTGACTCCAAAAAATTGAGAATGCTTCCTTGGCACCCAATTTAAAAAGAGAAGAGCTCTAGCTGGGACCTTTTCAGAACCAGAGGAGAGTTTGGGGGGAAGGGGGAAATTAACCTTGGCCTCTTTTCGCTTTTGCAAACTAGGGGCAGATATTTAAAAACAAGTCCATTACTCAAGTCCTGCAAGGGTCGTTTAAGAAACAAGCAAGTGAAGTATTTCCTTTTTGTGAGAGGACAGGGAGAAGTAAGGGCTCTGGCAAATACACCCTGATGGTTAGAGTGGACTGCCAATCCTCACCTTCCCACACAAGAATTCAGACTTTATTTCTACTTTTGTATCCCCAAGGAAATTCAGACCTTAGAACTTAAACATGTGCTTAAATTAATTTAGTTGAACACATTGTGTGTACTAACAAAATGATGGAAGACGCACTGGCCATCCATTTGATGTCAGTGTTATTCTAAACTCTTTCTAGTCATGGCCTTCCATCACTTGGCTAAAGTAGGATCCCTAAAAGAACAGTGAGTTTCAATCTAAACTTTGCTGATCCAGTCAGTTATCCTTATCTGCAGACAAACTTCTTGCTCACTTGGCTATAGACAGTACACACTAAAACTTCCGGAATAAATCTCTATGCTGAAATTTCAAAGTTAGGTCAGCATGGGTGTACATCTGAAACTATTTAGATCCTGAAGGTGAAACAAATTAAAGTAGATCGGGTATGATTCATTCACCCTCATTCAATTAGATGTAGCTGTAATGCACAGCCCCAAGAACTCAACTGTAAAATGTCAGGATGGTTCTGACCCCAATTTTAAATCCTCAGAGCTTTTAAATAGTTAAGGTGCTTATTTAGGAAGTAGTTTTATTCTTTTTTTATCTGATCTTTTTAGATATACATGAGATTAGAGTGTATTTTGACGTGTTATACATACATGGAGTATAACATTTAAAATTTTCTATTTGAGGAGTGTTTAAATGCATATAGTACTCCTGCAAGCTCAATTTCTTTCTTTAGAGAAAAGGAAGGATAGAAAGGCTGCTACCCAACCACATGCTTTGTGCTTCCAAAATTATTTATCCCCCTGCAATCTTCTTTGACAAAGATGTAATTGCTTCAATAATATAAAAGCTAAAAGAAGGCTTTTGGCACACAAATCTCTGTAATGCAATGCATTCATTCTAAAGAGAAGCAAATCTATTACTGAATAGCAAGTGATATCCAAAGCATGGCTCTCTTAAAAATATATCAGTCCTAAATCCTAGAGATCAAGTTGTACACAACTCAAAATATCAGCATGTCCTTTAATTTACTGGCAAAATCAAGAATTTTAACTCCTGTGAAATAACAATGGAGAAAAAAGAGTCTATTACAAATCTGCAAACCACAATTCTAGAATGAAATAGAACTAGAAGCTTTTCCCAGAATTCAATTTTTTTGGTAAAAATTGGGTAGATACACAATTAATAGGAAGTTGGAAAATAGGATGAGGGAAACCACTGAACAAAGGAAAATAATAGAAGATATTCAGAGAGTGACAGAATGAGAAATCATTATTTATACTGAGACCAGAATTAATGTTGACTTCTGTACATAGACTAAATTTACCAAAGCACTTTGAGTTTACACAATTGTAACAGATGATTTTAATGAGGGTTTTACCTAAGAAAAATCGTTGCTTGCTACAAATCTATACCTTTGAAAAAGTCTTTTATGGGCTTCTTTGACAGCAACAGGTAAATGCTTTTGACAGATCTTTTTCAATTAATAACAAACAAAATCATTTCAGGCAGATGTATGACTACTTTCTATTATAAAAGGAAAGATCTCAGAATATGGTCACAATTCTTTTGAAGTCTGTCATAAAGCCTTTAAAAATCTTATTTAGAATTCTATCTTTGCTATGCCGTTTCTTGAATTTGAAAAAAAATAAATAAATTTCAGCAGATTAGTCTGAACTCTTTTATGGGGTTAGTATCAAAGTCTACAATTTCTATGGGGTAGGGTTTTTTAAAATAGGCTTTCTACAGAACTGTTTGACCTAATATATGGCCTTTATTCTGCCATTTCATTTAACATGTGTTGGTGAAAGTATTTATGATTCAGCCATGTCAACGCCAGAAATATTTTGTTGCTCACATAGCATGCAACCTCAAATAAAATGCACCTCTTGATGGATGTCAGTCAGACATTGTGTATTTGAGAAAAATAGTGTTAAAGGTCACTGAACATAGAGACAAATGAAAAAGTGGTTTTGAGCAATAGCACCAAGACCTTCAGGGACTTTCCGACTCAGCCCACACCTGTCTTAAAAGTCAGTGCATGCCTTTTAAATATCATGATGCTTAACATATTCCTTACACATAAGAATGGAAATGCAGTTTTGTGTTTGGAACATCAAAAAGTATCTAATGAAATTTAGACTATTTTCTCCTTTGTGGGTTAAATAGAATAATATTTATGTTACATTTTATGGTTGAATATTTAAAATGGCAACTTAGAACTAAATGTTTAATAGATATTATTTCTGTTAAAATGAATCTTAAAATTCTGTAAGATACAATTATAATTACTTCCATATTACAGATGGGGGAATGAAGGGTTAGGAGGAGGTAAAGCAATTTACCCAAAGCTAAATAAATAAATATAATGAATAAAAAAAGATTTCGTGAACTGAAACATAAAAACACAAAACTTATGCATGTTAATGAGGTACCACATGATGTTTCAATATATGCATATATTGTGTAATCATGAATAACTGAATAATTTTTAAAGGCAAAAATTCACCACCACTACAAAAACAGCCAAGCCCAAGTGCATAGCCCATTCCTTCATTATTATGCTAGACTGTCAGACAATTTAAATCAGACCATTTAACTTCTCTAGAAATGTCCTAGCTAATCCAAGGATAAAGATTTGTCATTTGCCATTGGTAAGTTATTGATGATATTTGACCCAAATAAAGAAATCCAAAACCACCTTTTTATCTTGAGTTTTTCATAGCTATTATAGCATATCATTTCAAAACAAGATAGAAAGAAGTGAACCCCTGATAGATTTAGGTATAGTGTTTTGATAGATATAACTTGTTACAGTCCTGGCTTCTTATTTCCATTTTCCTTCATGCAGAACCCAGTGCTGCTCCCACGGATGTCAAGGCTACAAGTGTGTCTGTGTCAGAGATTCTTGTTGCATGGAAACATATTAAAGAGAGCCTAGGAAGACCGCAGGGATTTGAGGTATGAACAGAAATACTGAAAATAAGCCTTGTTGTTTCTGCTGGCATTACATCCTCCTAAAGAGATGGTTTGGTGACACTTTGACAGAATTATATTCCTTTGAATTTTTGCTCTATGTTTTTAAAAAAAGTAAAAATACTGTTTTACTGACAAGTACTATGTTGCTCATTAGCTGGCTTGTTTTTCTGTACAATACTTTCCACAGGACTATGCAAAGTTTTTTTTTTAAGATTAAAATAGGTAGAATCAGGCACTACAGGTAGATATTTGCTAGTATCCAGTTTACTGGTGATTAAAAATGTTTTGTGCCTTTGTTTCTAATAATGTAATGTATAACAATGAATTTTCCTTTCATACTTTTTAGGCAGGTCTTACCGTTAATATTGATACTCAAATTTTGCTTGGAACATAGACACCTGTATCTATTTATTCAAAGGGGAGTTACTTTGGTTGTTCCATGAAATTTGCTGTTTTGAAACACAGTAATGCTCACATTATATAAAAAGTCCATAATACAAGTGTGTATGCACACAATATATCAATTCTTATATAAGAACCTAGAAGATGCAGCAAGAACCATTTTTAAAATAAAGCCAGTATCATGGACTTATTTTTACAATATTACTTCAATTTATTATTTGAATTTCAATTCATTATTTGATTATAGCACAGATAATTCAGTGCTATATTATGACTGCATATTTATTCTATTAATAGCTCCGTTTTTCCCTATGCATGTTGCAGGAACAATGTCGATTCATCACCACATCCCAGCAACTAGTAACACTTGGCCTATGACATGCCCCAATAAGTTTCTATTGAACAAAATGAAAGAATGTGCTTCACTATCAGCCCCTTTCTACATGATTATAGGAACCATTGTGAACCAAATGAAGGGAACCATTCTCTGACCCCCTTTACTAGCTAATGCAGCATCCCCCAGCTGCTAACGTGTTGACTGCTAATGGTTCTCAATTTCCCCTACTCTGAGGGGGCCCATTTTGCCCAGAAAGTTACCTCCCCCACACTTAGACAGCCCAAGGTTAGTGATGGACTGATACCACTCTCATGCCTCGAAGAGAACAATATGATGGTGTGGCTTATGACACAGAGCCTTTGCTGTGTGCATCAGGCTGACACTAGATTACCTGGATTCACATTCTTGCTTAGCTCCCTCTCCTTCCCCACCTAGCTGTCCTCCTGCCCTCATGGATTATACCTGCTAGCACTCTTGCAATAAATCAAACGCACCTAAAACCCTACCTCAAGCTCTACTTTATTTTCAGTTATAGAATGTATTTTGACATATTATACATATACATAAATAAGATATTATTCTATTTAGGCTCCCACTCTTGTGGTCATACATGATGTGTACACATGATCTTGTATACAAATACTAGGCTAGAAAAGTTAAGTCCAATTAATTCTATTGTCTTTCCTATTACTCTCCCCCCTACCTTCCTTTCATTTCCCACTGTCTAGTAATAATGGGTTTCTATTATCTCTTGCCACCCCTTCCCCTGTTGTAGGTTAGCATACACATATCAGAGAGAACATTAAGCCTTTGGGTGTTGGGGATTGGCTTATATCAGCACAATATTCTCTAGTTTCATCCCTTTATCAGTAAATATCATAATTTCATTCTTCTTTATGGCTGATGAATATTCCATTTTGTGTGTGTATATATATATATTATATATATATATATATATATATATTATATATATATATATATATATATATTATATATATATAAAATCACATTTTCTTTATCCATTCATCCATTGAAGGACACCTAGGTTGTTTCTATAGCTTGACTCTTTTGAGTCAAGCTGCTATAAACATAGGTGTGGCTGCATCACTGTAGTATGCTGTTTTTATACATAAAGGTACATCCTCCCTAGATTTCAGAGGCAGAGTATCTGGGGGCCCATCTTTAGTGAGTGTACTGTTAGAGAGCCACAAATATATACCAGCATGTAGAAGAGTGAGATCCAGATTGGTACACCTCAAAGTAGTGATCCATCACATAGCCACTTACCCTTAATTTCTTTTTTACCTACCACAATAGCATAACTTTCACATATCCACCATGACTCGCTGTACTGACATCTCTCCATAACTTCTTAATTTTTATGTAAGATCGAAATTTGTGCACAATTTTTTTCTCCCTTGATATAAATCATTAATTTAATAATTCACCAAATATTTATAAGGGCTGCTAAGTACTAAACATTGAGCTAAATGCTAGGAATAAAATAAAGTCCCTGCCCTTGTGAAACTTATATTACAGTAGGGGAGTGAATTTAATAAAAGCTAAGAAATAAATATGAGATATAATTTCAGTTGAGGATAAATGCTGTATAAAAATAAAATAGCAGAAAGGTAAAGGTAGAGATTGTGATAGTTAATAGATGTTTAGAAGTCACCCTTTATTCAAATTGGGACATTTGAATAGAGCCAGGATTGAGTAAAAGGTAAGAGAACAGAGATCAATAGGGAGGTAGCAATAGGATGCTGAATAATCACTAGGACAAGGACCAGATTGCATGCAGTACCATGAACCAGAAGAAGAGTTTAAATTTTATCCTAAGTAGAGAGAAATCCACTAAAGCATTTTAAATAGGGAAGTCTTATCAAGATCTGACATGTTTTTAAAGCCCCTCTTGGTCTAGAAGGTAGAGAACAGATTAGAGGGGGAAGAACAAACTCTAGGGGAAATCTAAAATCCAGCCTTCCCTAGAGAGTGGAAGCAAGGAGATTGCCACCACCTAGATGACAGTGAGATGGCTTTCACCTATAGTGGTAGTAGCAGAGTTGCTGAAAAGCAGACCTTGTAGGTTATACTTCAAATGGAGGTATAAGACTTGATTATTAATTAGATGTGGGGTTGAAAGAAGAGTCAAAGACTAATACCAGAGCTTTCGAATCCAAAATGGTTGAATAGCATTGTCATATATGGAGATAAGGAACTCAAAAAGTGAGTCTTGCAGTTTAAAAAAAAAAAAAAGAAATCAAGTATTGTTTGGAATGGGTTAAATTTTATAAGCCTTCGTTATTTCTAAAAGGAGTTGTCAAGGAGGTTTTATATGAAGACAAATATTTGGGGTTGAGTAATGTGAGGACTCACCAGTATATAAATAGCTTTTGTTCATTTACTGGCTGAGATCACTGAGCAGTGATAGAGGAGATGTCTGAGAAATGAGCCCAGTGATGTCTCACCACTTAGAGCTCAAGAATGGAAAATGGTGTGGCCAAAGAAACGAAGAGGGAGACCTGAAAGAAATTCAGCATCCAAGAAAAGAATTTCAATGTGCAGAGAATGTTCCAAGAGGTCAGATGCTGCTAAGAAAAATGAAGCCTCAGCCAGTTTCAGTAGCACACACCTGAGTCCAGACTACTCAGGCAGCTGAGGCAGGAAGATCATATGAGCCCAGGAGTTGAAGGCCAGCCTGGGCAACAGAGAAACCCAGTCTCAAAAAAAAAGTTAAAAAAAATAAAAATTAGCAGAAAAATGAGGCCTGAGAGTTCCAGATGGAAGTGGCAGAGGCTTTCATAAACTTGATGAGAGAGGTTTTGAAATGTTGGTGATCAAGGCTTGCCTGGAGGTTAAGATCAAGAGTGACACCTCAGTGTCAGAGCACAATGTTTGCGCTAAATCTGTTTCATTCAAAATGACAACTTATCACAAGCAAAAGTGGAATATCCTTAAAAATCAAAAGCTGATAGGAATGAATCAAATTCTGAAATAATCACAATGACTATATTTTTAAATTTAAATGACCTGACACAAATTCTGACAACTGATTTTACACACAAAAACAGGGCAGAATCCATGGGCACAGTGACATCTATGCTACTTTATAATGCACCATAAATTGTAGTTTTTAAAAAATTTGGTGTTTGTTATCAGAGGGAGGAAATCAACAACTTATTAATTGGAAAATTAAATATATGCTTCTTGTAATCAGAAAATAATTAAAATCATATAAACTTCAAACATGGTCAAACATGAAATTACTGTTATTTTAAATAGCATATGCTCAGCAAAGACTATTTTTAATGTATACTGTCTCATAACTGAATGGTTGCATGTAGATTTAAAACTAAATGTGATGTAAATAAAGCTTATCAACATCTCCCATCCCCTCCTTTCTGCACCCTTTTATACCTTTAAATGTAACCTCTGCCCATACAGGTATTTGCTGCTCTCATATTCTACCTATTATCTCCTATTAAAATGTCATTTAGTAAAAGATGTCCCTAATTATTACTAAGACATATTAATTCCTTATAGTTTAATAATTTATCTTCTATCTCCTTCCTGTACTCTAAGCCTACCACAATCCTAGTTATATGTGCTAATGGTAGGATTCTGAGCATGGTAACAGATATTTGAAACAGGAATATTTGTCAACAAAACCCAGAAGATTGTTTCAATTTTTATGTACTTGTATCAGTTCTATGAGTCACTTTTATAGCCATAATTCTAACTTTCCTTGAATTGTCTGAAAGAGCAAATTACTGGAATGGTACTATGTACTGTTTAGAAAATAGAGGAGACAGTGTTTTGGGGTTCCCCTCTTATTTTTCTTGAATTGGAATGTGGCTAAGATAGATGAGGTTCTAAGGAATGTTACATCCTAATGGAGGAAGAAATTTTAAAAAATAAAGCAAATAAACTCAAATAACAATATGCAGAAATTTAAAGGTAGAAAAAACCTAGTTCCTTTGAGGCATAAAAAAGAAGCAGAGGGACTAGACCTTAGTGAGCAATGCTGTAAGTGGAAGTAGAAGTAATCAGAGACTCAGGCAGAGACAGGATTATGTAGGGATATACAAATTATGGAAAGATTATTCTATTCCAAATGCAGTAGAGAGTATAGAGAGCAACTTAGATGGGAGGGACAATGTCTGATTCATACTTAAAAATAACACTGTCTGCTCTTACTTGAAGAATGAAAGGGAAAGAGAAAAGGATCAGGAAGTCAATGTTA